ACTTGTCGGAGACGAAAGCACATGTGGCACCCCCAAGTTGAACTTGTACAAACCTCACCCAAAAAACGACACCAATATCAAATATATACCTTTTTTTCTTAAATATAACATTGATGATATATTTGATTCATCACATCCATATGTCTTTATTAAAACTTATCCTAAACGTCCTCGTTACGATTAGGCCTCATTTGAGATTGATTATGAGAGCCAATTGATCGAGGTAATCTGACCACTCTAATATGCTTTTTCATATTTAAATTGAAAATTAGCCCACTTAAACTTACATCAACTAGTTAAGACATATATATCGCCAAATTATTGAGACCGACTCTGAATGCCTTCTCAAACTTCTTCAATCTAGGAAATTGCTTTGGGAATTTAAGATGTCTGAAATTTCAGATAGCCACATTTCTTTTGTAGGAAGATTTATAAGGATATCTGGGAATATTTTGATGACCACGTTTGTTTTGCAGTATTTATTCATGGAAATATTGCAAATTTTTGTAATGTTCAAAAAATGTCTTTATCGGTCATCATATAATTTATATGTTAAATTTAATATTATTTGAATTCATATAAAAATTTTACTTTTAGTAAGGTGACTATTGGAAGAGTAAAATAAATGAAGAATTGGGCACTATATTTGAATTAAAAATAAATTAAGATATTATACCATAGACTAATGTTTATTTTATATTTAAATGTAGCATGCAACTAAAATTGTATTTAGACATTTATAATGAGTTAGTGCATACATTCATTTTTAAAATAAAATAAAATAAATGAGAAATAAACATTATTAATGAAAAAATATTATATAACAAAAATGATGAGGGACAAAATTGTCAAAAGAAGATGTTCTCGAATCTTAAAAATCCATCTTACAATAGGGCATCTAAAATTGCTCATATGCGTCCCGTATATGCATTCTAGGATGCTCGGACATCTAAGAATGCTCGGGTATCCAACATTCTTATCAAACAAACATGAGAATCTGGATATCCATCCCACGAGAACCTCAAATTCCCACGAAACAAACGGCCATAAAGCCCCATCTACCTGAGACTGTCCTTTGGCCTGTAGGTCCTGGCACGATGTTAGAATTATAGCTCTTTCATTATGGTATATCACCTCAACCTAAGTTGCTCACGAAAGGCCCAAAAAGTCAATTTTGGGGAATAATAGTGAAGCTTCAATTGGTCTTTATGGTGCAGGTAGTTCGCATCTTCACAGACGTGTCTATTTCACCGAGCCTCTCTTCGATACAGTGTCCAGATCGTTACGACTTTCGTACGGGTCAGAACTTACCCAAYAAGAAATTTCGCTACCTTATAATCGTTATAGCTACCGCTGGTCGACTTTGCAAAAACCTGTATTTTTGGTAAATAGTGGTACGTAATTCTAGTTTTAAAGTTTCAAAATTTAAAAACTAAAACTGCATGACTGACACGGCAGACATTCACTTATACGCGAGTTTGTGCCTGTTATTTTGAAGGGCAAAAAATGGGAGGAAAAACAAAAGGTATCCCATCTATTTCCCCAACAGGCCAACACGTGGTCTTACACATGTTGGCCCAAACATAACGTGGGCCGTGAGGGTGTATCAGTCCCTCCGGTTATTTATTTTTCTCATTATTTTTTCCCCCTCCACTATGTTCATTAAAAAATTAAAAATATCTGACCATCATCAAATCAACAAATAAATAAATGAATTTTTCATGCATGTTGTTGGGTAATGGGGTTTTTTATTTTTCTAACTTAGACATTTGATATTTCTATAATTATTAATTAAGATCAACTCTTTCTTTTTGTAAAATTTTAAAAAAGTATGCTGGAAATAAATTTCTGCAATTTTATAATCTCCTGTCTAATAGCTCGTTCAAAACGACACGTCGATGGTGTCATTGAGATAAGAGATGTCGTTTTTAGTCTACCTGTTTCTATTTCTATATATATGGAAAGTTTAAAAATCATCATATAATAATCCAGAAATTGCAATAGAAAAGAAAAATAGAGGTTTGTGATGATTTTTAAATCTTTTATACTAGGTAATCTAGTATCCTTATGCATGAAGATAATGAATTCGGTCGTTGTGGTCGGACTCTATTATGGATTTCTGACCACATTCTCCATAGGGCCCTCTTATCTCTTCCTTCTCCGAGCTGGGTTATGGAAGAAGGAACCGAGAAGCTCATCATTTTAACTGTATTCACCCGGCCCAAATAAATGGGCCTAGCAATTCTCTATAAATCAATCATTGGGCCCACATAAGTGAGCCCAACGCCAGTTGGGTGAGAAAAGAAAAATTGGGAGGGAGCGCCTTTTATAGGAGGCACCCCCTCCTCCTTCAATCCCTTTTCGATGTGGAATTGTTGGGGACAGTGTTCAAAATGTCAATATCGATGAAAACATCGAGGTCCCGATTTTACGATAGACATGTCGACGTGAATGGATATTTTGGGAAAAATAATGGAAATTGTGGAAATTGATGGAAATTTTTTGAATTAGTAAATAAAACTTGAATTATAGCTTAATTAGCCTAAGAATATGACCGTTTCTTATGAAAATGTCGATGTCGATGGAAATATCGAAAAAATATTTTTTTCTTTAAAGATTGATGGAAATTATGAACTTTAATGGTAAACTTTTGACTATGCTTTTTATAATAGAATTCATTTGAAAATGAGATAATAATAAGATATGAAATATTGATATATATACCGTACAAATATTAAAAATAGAATTATGTGTTTGAAAATTTTGTAATTAAATTTAAAAAAAATGAAAAAAAACAACCAAAATAAAAATATTTAGAATAGTAATAATTGAAATAAATGTATAATTTAAATAGTAATAATAATAAAATAAAAAAAATTGAAAAAAAAAAGAAGCATCCCCAGCCTGATAGAAGTATTTAAAAAGAATCGTTACATGTGTTAAAAAGAATATTGATTTAGCGAAAAGAAAATTAGAATTAGGAAATGAAAGCAATAAATGCTTGAAAACAAACATCTCATTCAAATCAGTCTCAACGGATTTATTTTTAAAAATGAAAATATAATTTTGAAGATAGCTATGAGATTGTGTAAGTCAACAGTGCATTATATTTATAATATATGTCACGACAATTAATTATGAAAATCACTGAATTGTCGTTTGCATGTTATACACACACACGTACGAGGGCTTTTAAGACAAAGATAACTCTAAGGACCTATTTAAAGGTTTTAAATCTATTAAGAAATCTAAATATTTTTACAATTATTTATATTTTTATTTTTATTTTTTAAAAACATTCTTATTTAAAAAACGAATTTATTGTTTTTTATTATATTTTCAATTTGTTCTAATATAAATAAAAATAGTATTTTATCATGTTTCAATCATGATGTTTGTGTCATACAATTTTATTTTCTTTATTAAAAATGATGAAACAAAAATATGAAATAGAAACGTTATCAAATGAACTCTAAGAAACTTCACTAACATTTGTGCGACGTTTGTTTAAAAGACGGTTAGTAATCAAGTTGGATGTAGGTAACATATTCTAATAGATTTAACTAACATTTGTGTTAGTAATCGAGTTAGATGCCGAACGACGAGAGATTGTGAAGAACATTTAGTAGTTAGTTGAGAACTACTTTAGTTCTCTTGTGTTGATATATATAGAAATTTGGATATGTTTTATGATGACCAAAGTTCCAACAAACACCTGCACACAAGAAATTTGTACATGAGTATGGTGCTAAGTCCAACAAACTCTGAAATAAGCACATCAATATGATGCTAAGCTC